GCAGAGAGGGAAACTGAGGCACAGTGAGGTGAATACAGCAATACCCTGTCTGCATCACAGAGTAACACCTGAGCCATTGGTACCAGCTATTTCCACCTTGAGCTGTGGTGTTTGTCCACAAACATGTGATTTCTATTCCCAGCTGTAGGGCTTTATGGAGTCTCCTCCCGGAGCTGAGCAGCCTCCCAGCACTGGAGGATTTTCCCACCCTACAGATCTCCTTAGAGACACTCACAGGGTTATTCCAGCCTCAATCCCCAGCCTTTCAACTTGCTTCCAGCTGCAGTGAGGCCATGTCCTTCCCCTCCTCCCTTGTGTTTCATTGATTAAGAGTCCTAGGCCTCACTGGGGGATTTAGGAAGAGCTAATTGCAGACTGGTAATTGAAGACAGCTTGGAGTCTCTGGAAATGTCAAGGAATGAGAGAGGAGCTTAGATGCTCCCATGCATTTAAATATGCATCATTGGCTGGGGGGAGGGAGGGAGGCAGACATGTCTGGTTTTCCCTATCCCAGAGGACCTTGTTGAGCTGCTGGGGGGATCAAGGCAGGGGTAGCACTAATCTTACCTTGTCTGGGAGATTTCTGCTCCTCCCAAGGCAAAGGAGAGAACACAAAATGACTGGGTACTGAGGGTGGGAATCTCAGGCTTGGGAGCTTGGTTTTCCCCTCTTTAAAACCGTGATTTGCTGCTGCATGATTGATGGTCTGGACTCAGGAGCCGGCTGCTGGACAGCAGCAAGGGGAATGGAGAGAGCTCGTGTCCAAACCTGTGACCCCTGCAGCGCTCCCTGAAGAGCAGTGAGGGGCTGAGACCCTCCCAGGAGGGGCTGGGCACCCCCCAGTGCTGCCAGCCACAGGGCCCAGCAGTGCCTGGGGTTGCAGGGATGGGGGGATTCACATTGGGTTTGGGACTTGGAGGTGGATTAACAGGGCCAAATCAGTGATCAGTCACTGCAGGGATCCAGGTGAGGGATTCCAGTGCTTTCCTAGTTTGAAATTTCTCCAGCAGCAGCACATCTCCTTTCAATGCCTCACAGTGGTGCCCCACCTGCTCCACAGTGCAGCAGCAGAGGTGGGCACCACAGCCCACAGTGGTTCGGTCCCTCCTGCCCCAAGGAGGTCTCTGCTCAAGCCAGAGCACCCTTATTTTCCTTCCCAAAGGCACACAGGGCTCTTGGATGCACCCTGGCTGGCAGTGGGTCCCAAGGATGAATAGTCACAAGTGAAAAAGGGAGTTTCTGCCCAGAGTCATGGAAAAAGCTCTGTGGGACTTTGCTTGCCTGGATGCTCTGTCTGTGGAGCAAATTCCATGGGCTGGCCATAGCACTGGGACAGGGAGGGTGACAGGCAGCTGGAGCAGCCAGCCTCGCAAGCCATGCCTCTTCCATGTGACACAAACAGCAGGGAAGCCGTGGGTTAGCTATTAAGAGTTGTCATCCTCCCCCAGAATGACTTGGAGATGCTCCATGGGAGGAAAACGCTCTGGATGATGCAGACCCAGCACCTGCTTGGCTGCTGAAGGACCTGCCTTGGCCCAGCTTCCTGCAAAGCCTTTCCTCATTTCCCTGCAGGGATGCTGGATGATGTTCCTCGAGGCAGATGGGAGTGGGAGGTCTCTCTTTGCCTCTGTGGGAGCCACTGGAGCCCTGGCTCTACTGCAGCTTTGGCTGTTTCTGTTGAAATGGGGATGGCTCGTGGGGGCAGGGCTGTGGTCACCTCCTGCTCTGTGGCACTTCAGTCACAGCTGCTCATGGGGGCCTGGGGGCAAAATGGCCCAGGGAGATGGCAGCAAGGGCAGAGAGAGCCAGAGGGTCCCAGACTGAATTGGCTGATGAGATATTTGTGCTCAGGGAGGGGCAGGATGCTGCCACAGGGTCTCATCTGATGGAAGACACGTCCAGGTTGGGTGGAAGGCTGCAAGAGCTCCGCCTGTGCCTAGGGTGGCCCAGCGGCAGGCATTGGAATGAGGAAGGTGGGGTGGCAGCAGTTTGGTTCCCACTGTAGCCAAAGCACGGCCTGAGGCATTGCCTGGCTGATGTGGTTGGGAATGAGGGCACAGACTGGGAACAGGTCAGTGCCAGGAGGCTGGGGAAGGTGAGGAAGGGGAACTGGCTGCCTTGGAGTCCTGCTGGGTTGGTTGATCCTCCTGCCACAGAGCCTGGCAGAGCTGAAGGCCGGGACTCCAGAGGCTGGGTCATTACCTCCAGCTCACTGAGAGCTGAGTGTGGAGGCTTCTCTGTGCTGTGTCCCCTGCCTGTCTCACTGTCCTTTGTCACTTCTGAGGACTTGGCTCCTTAGGGGACAGCCAGGCAGAGCCCAGCTGTGACCCAGGGCAGATGTGGGGACTCTGCCCCAGGCGTGAGTGTCCCCTGGCTGGAACAGGGACTGCTCCCTCATCAGAAGGCCTGCATTAGAGTATAATCTGGCATTAGTGCATTAATCCAGCCCTCCTGCCCTCAACAAAGCCCACACCAAGGTCTCAGTGTACAGTTGGGCAGCAGCACCAGGATACTCTCCCTGGCCACCCCTGATGGGCACCAGAGAGGAGGTGGCAGCACGGACAAGGTTTGGGTTTATGGGGGCACTACAGCCCTCAGCACACTGCCAAGGGAGAGAGAATCTTCTGGAAGCATCCCTGTTGCTCTCTTGGAGGGACTTCACAGGGGGTTTGGAGCCAGGCTGCCTGCACCTGCAGGCTCTGGCTGAGCCACACAGTCACGAAGCACTTTGCAGGGAGCCAGGCCAAGAGAAGGTGGTGTCTGGAGAGAGGATGTGAGTCAGCAGCTCGGGTGTGGGGGGCTGAGGATGCAGCTGGGATGAGGAGAGAAGGAAGGAGGTGGGAGTCAGGAGAGCTGGAGAGGGTGCAGAAGTGGGCAGGGAGGCAGGTTGTGTCCCCCAGGGCAGACATGGCCTGACTGTGCTGCACAGGCTCTTCCCAGCATGAGGAAAGAAGACCGTGGCAACATGACCTCACTAAAATAGGGGAGGGACTAATCCATTCCCCCTCTGGTACATTATGGGGGGACTGGAAGATTTTGGAGGAGTTGGAGAGGTCCCCCTGTCAGGCTGGCAAGAGGCTGAGGTGGGGGCAGCCCTCTTGCCAGCTGAGCAAAGCCAGACACAGATACTTTGTTGGTTTTGTTTTTTCAGTAGGAAGGGAAAAAATCCTTTTTCCTTTAATCACAGGGCAGCAGAGGAAGTTGCTGGGCCATGTGCTCTGCTCCCTCAGTCTTCCCAGCACAGGCTGAAGCCCTTTGGGACAGTGTTCCCCATCTCACCCCACACAGGGCACCCAAGGACTCCCCTCAGGTAGGTTGGAAGCCCACAGGGGCACTGAGTGCAGCTCTCAGCCACACAAAGTGGGCTCCCCACCAGCTGGTGCACCCCACAGCCACACACGGTGCTGCCCCTCTGCCCCCCAGGCTGGGCACCCCTGCCCAGGGCCAGGGATGATGTTCCAGGGGGAGCTGTGCTGGGCTCGGCCCTGCTTGCCCATTGGCAGGATTTTGCTGCAGTCTGCTCCGAGCCCGTGGTTTTGGTGACTGAGGAAACCTGCAGAAAGCAGCACTGCTGGTGGATTGGGTCAGACGGGGCTCTGGGGAGGAGGGAGGCTGGGTCGGGTGAAGGTGGTGGTCTGTTCAGCCCCCCGATAAGCTCAACATGTGAGGGGAGGCGGCTCCCAGTGGGGCCTGGGATGGGAGCATCCCGCGTTGCCATGGTGACGGCGACTGCATCCTCAGGCAGGCAAGAGCATCGCTGGTGCAGCCCGGCATGGGTGTCCCCGCTCCGCCTCCTTCCCGGCTACCGTCCCCGGGAGAGCAGGGCTGGTGCCCGGCCTTTGGCGTGGCACCCAGGGGACAGAGCGCTGGGACGGTGGCACCCAGGGGACAGAGCGCTGGGACGGTGCCAGCTGGGCTCGGAGCAGAGCGGAGCGAGCCGCAGCTCAGCCTGTTGCCCCGGGTGTGTGCGGCCGCCCTCCCTCTCCCGAACAGGTAAGTCCCCCTTTCCCGAGCGTGTCCCGCCTCCGATCCATCGGGGATCCGGGCTGCAAGGTCGGGCCGGACTCGCCTGGGCTTCCCCGGTGCAGCCCCGGCAGAGGGACGGGAAGGGGGAAGGGAGCCGCTCCTAGTGACCCACATCCCTTAATCCGCGTCCTGCCCTGCGTCACGCAGTTACCTAAGCCCCGAGCAGCTCCCCCGGCGAGGGCACAGCCTCTGCCCCGTCTCTGAGGGAGCCGTTGTGGCCATTTCCCCCATTTTGCTGTTGCTAAGTGAAACTTGGGGGCAGGGGATGTCTCCAGCATGCCTCGGCGCTGGTTGTGTGGGGGTAACTCCTCCCTTTCCCCCTCACTTCACCTCCTGCCGTGCCTGGGAACAGTCTGCGCAACACCCACAAACCCTGGAGGCAGGGACAGCCCCCTGCCCAGTGCCTGCAACTCCTTTTGCTCTCATGGATTCTCTGCATCAGCCCCCTCAGTTCACAGCCTGAGCCCTCTCCAGAGGACACACTGACATCAGATCCCACTCCCTTAAGCTGATTAGGGCAGTAAGGATGCATTGGAGCAGATGCCACCAAGGCTGTGAGTGACCAGACCCCGGAGGGATGCAGCAGAGGCAGCGTGGAGCCCCCAGATGTGGGAACTGCTGGGGTCTGGGACATGAAGGGAGAGGAGGTGGGGGGTGGTCACTCCTTCCATGGGCTGGGGAGCTGCATGACTGCCCCTGCACAGCAGGTTTGATCCCTGTTGCAATCTCTGGGAGCCTGAGAACAGCATATGTGGCTTTCCTGAAGGGGAGTCTCAGGTAACCCAGAGGTTTCCAGCTCTGTCCTCTCTCCTGGGGATTGTAAGAACCAGAGGTGATGCCTGGAGAAAAGATGATGCAGACAATGGCCACATCCTTCCCACCCCAGCCCTGTAGGTGTTCTGGCTCAGATGGGAGAGGATTTGCTGAGTGGTTCCCCCTCTCCCCAGCTCCCTTCAGACAGGAGAGGACACAGGTGACAGCACCTCTCTGTTTTATTGAACACCAACCCCCCCCCCCCAGCCAGTGTGGAGCTCAGCGTGCCCAGCTCTTGTGCATCCACTGGGCCAAAGTCCTGCTCCAGAGGATGGGGGCAGCTCCTTGAACCTGGGGGAGAGATCCAGGGCTGCCCCTTGGTGCCTGGGGCTTCCAGGCCTGCTGTCATCCCTTCTTCTGCTCCACCACCCACGCTGCCTTGTCCCTGGGGATGTTCCCACTTATGGAGGGTGTCCCACCAAGCCCTGCATGTGAGAGGCTAAAGCTGGAGTAAAACTGGAACATTACTCTAGGAAGTGATAAGCAGGACACTGGCTCATGTGCAGGGTGTCAGGGACTGTCCGTAGTGTAATCCTTGGGCACTGGGGAGAGGGCAGAGCTGCAGAGACCAGGCTATGCTGCCTCCAAGCTCTGGTCTTGCCCTGAGGGTGAGCCCCACACTTGTCCCTGGCAACTCCAACCCCAGAGCCCTGCCCTGGGTCTGAGTGAACCCACAGAAAGCATCTGCTCTCCTGAGGTCTGAAGGAAGTCACCTTCAGGGAGCAGGTATCGGAGGGATGGAGGAAACAAAGCCTTTGGAGACAAAGGTGAGGGGACCAAGTGGTCAAGGAAGGTTCCCTTTCCTTGTCCCTGCTCAGTGGGACCCTCATTCATGGACACAGCTGCCCTGGGGCCCCAGCTCCTGACTCCTCTCTGCAGGGAATGGGGAGGGCAGGCAGAGGCTGAAGGCAGAGCTAGGGGCATTCATGGCATGGACAGCATGGTACAAAGGAAAGGTGGGGCCCTGCCAGGAGAGGAGTCCATGGTTTTTCCTTCCATTCACACCCTGCTTTAGGTATCCACATCCATTCCCAGGATCATGGATACTTCCTCATCTTAAATTTAGATGGCTTCCCTCCTCCAGCCACCCACATCAGAGAACAAACCCAACTTTCCTGCGAGCACCCCCCATCCCCCACACCACATCAAACATAAAAGGGGACACGTGAGAGCAGGGCACAATCCCATCCCCCACCCCTCCCTGCTGAGATTCCCAAATCCGCAGCCCCATGCTGCCAGGGCCATGGAGCATCCAGGTGGCACAGCTGAGCCCCTAATGGTAATGGTTGTTCATGTTGTTGAGGTGGGAGGCCGCCACAGCGCTGAACGAGGCTGAGGGCTGGAGCCCATGCCCCGGGTACAGGGACGGGCTGGAGCCAGCCCAGTAGGAGAAGCCAGCCGGCGTCACTCCCGAGGTCATGAGGTTGAGTTTGGAGATGCCCGAGAAGGGCAGCGGTGCCAGGTTGCCCTGGAATTTGTACAGGGTGTGGTCGGGGGTGGCCGGCTGGCACACCTGGGCCAGCCCGTGGAAGTCGAACTTGTAGGCGTAGCGCTTGCCGTGCACCTTGGTCATGATGTTCTTGTCGTAGTAGTAGCGCAGTGCGCGGCTCAGCTTGTCGTAATTCATGTTGGGCTTGCTCTTGCGCTCACCCCAGCGCCGCGCCACCTCGTCGGGGTCGATCAGCTTGAACTCCCCATTGGTGCCCTCCCAGGCGATGCAGTTCAGGTTGGCCCGGTCTGAAAGCAGCTCCAGCAGGAACTGCCACAGCTGGATCTGCCCGCTGCCTGCAAGGCCAGGCCCCCAAGAGGTTAAAGCTCCTTCCCAGGGCACAGGGTGAGGGACAGGATGTGCCCCAATCCCCCCGACCCGCTGTTCGGCGCCCTCTCCCACACCCAGGTTCTGGCTGCACCTCATTGCATCTTCCCTGCTTTAGAGATACATAAGGTGGTAACAAGGTTGTCTCCTTTGCAACATCCCATCCTGCACCCCCAGATATGAGGAGAAGATGCCTCTGCACCTTGAGATGGAGTAGGAGTGCTCAAAGGTCAACACAGGTTGCAGTGGCACTCTGAGATCCAGTCTCCCCATCCATCCCACCCACATTCATGCACCACTGAGGATGAACACCTGCATGTTTGCTTTTGTGGGAGGACATGGTCTGGTTCTTTTATCAGCAGCCCCAAGAAGGACCTATCTTGGCAGAACCCAGATCCATCCCAACACAATCATTCCCCACTGCCATGTCTGCTGGAAACTGGGCTGGTCTCACAGCCCCTGCTCTAGGGACACTGTGCCCTGCACAGATGTCTCCTCAAGTCAGGGGGCAACACTCATCTGAACTATACCACAGAGAGACACAGACACATGTAGGGGAGGGAGAGACAGGGACAGAGCATGATCTACTGTGGCTTTGAATCAGGCATCAATGATGTTCCTCATTTCTGGAGAAAAAACGTCCTCCCTGAGCCATGGCCATTGTACCTGCAGCTTTCACCAAGGAGTTTCCTTGGTGGGCGCCAGTGGTGCCCCTGTGCCAGGCTGTGCACATGCTGGAGCCTGGCACACTCGACACACCCATGGTGAAACACAAGGACGTGCTCCTTCGGGTCTGGCCAGAGGGCATGAGAGGAGAGGGAATCTGGACCTTTGGGCAACGAGGATCTGACTGCTGGGACCCAGCCACCCTGCAGAGCAGCCCTGCACTTCCCTAGGCACCCCACTGCCTCCTCTGAGCAGCATTCCCTGCACATCCCCTGCACATCCCTGCTCCTGATGCCACTCCTTGCAGCATAGTCTCTCTCCAAAGCAGAGGATGTGCCTTTGCAGTTATCCCTGTGCTCTTCTAACATGATTTTGTCTAAAGGTGCTTGGATCCTATACGGAGATTTAGGACCCATGACCTCAGCAACAAGAAGTCCTACAGCTCTGCTACATTTCCCACCAAAAAAAATCTTGTTCTTGTTTTAGACCCACCTATTTTATCTTGTTCTCCCTGTATCTTGCTCTAAAAGAAGCAGGGAACAGTCATTCCCCATCAATTCCCATTCCACCAAAACCCACTCAGACATCCTGACCCAGGCACCTGAGCCCAGGTCTTTCCTAGGTGTTGTATTTCCTAATTCCCCATCCTGGGACCAAGGCAGGGATCTCTCCTCCCTAGGGTGCATCTGCAGCCCTTGCCTCTTCTCCATCACCACAGCCCCACCCTGGCCTCCAGCTATCTCCCACCCGTGGGTGTTCCACCTCATGCAAGGAGGTCAGGGAGGTCTTGGGGGGTGCACCTGGGTGGGGTGGTGAGGCTCAGTCCTGCCTGCTGCACGGTGCAGCACATGATAATGCACCTGAGAGCTCCCCAAGGAAATATCCAGGTGTCCAAAAAGATCCCTCTCACTGCAGCACAATGTTTAGAGTATGGCTGGGCAGAGTCTGCAGTGCAGAAGCAAAAGGGCTCCCTCAGTTCCATCTTTTCTCCCCCTCCCACCACTCAACCAAGGCTCCATTTTTCCTGCTCAGGGGAGTCCCTGGCCCCTGCCTCCTAGCAAACAGGCAAGCTATACGGCCCAAACACCACAGTGCTGGCCCCACGACCCCCAGTGCTGCCACGCTCCTAAGCAGGCTCCAGGCTGTTCCCTGATCAGCACTGGGAGCTCCAGGCTCTTCCCTGACCAGCACTGGCAGTTCTAGGCTGCTCCCTGGCTGGCACTGGGAGCTCCAGGCTGCTCCCTGATCAGAACTGGGAGCTCCAGCTTCACCCTGGCCAGCACTGGGAGCTCCAGGCTGCTCCCTGGCCAGCACTGGGAGCTCCAGCTTCACCCTGGCCAGCACTGGGAGCTCCAGGCTGCTCCCTGGTCAGCGCTGGCCGATGCCCGTGATCCCTGCACGGGTTGTTCCAGACGGATGGCTCCGGTTCCCGGAGACACATCACTCCCAAGCCCCAGCACTTCAGTGGCAGCTCCCTCACGAATGGTGTCCCAACTCTCCTCTGCACTCGCAGGAACGGATCTCCCGAGCCCGGATCAGCCCGCCCCGCTCCCGGGATGGCTGGCAGCTCCCTCCCGTCGGATGTCCCGGAGCTCCCGGCAGTCCGGAGTTAGGACCCCGCACTCTCCCCGCTGCGGGGCTCGGGAGGATGCGTTCCCCGCTCCTCTCTGATGCCTCGGACGGGAGCTCCCGACCGTCGGGGC